TGTCTTTCTCACCCAAACTTTAAATATGTATAATTTGTCCAAAGTGCTGTTGTGGTTGAATTCCAGCTGGCAAATAAGCCATCCCCAGCAGGTGCAAAATAAGTGGATGAGTAAAAGTGAGACAGCTCGTGGGTTGCGATAAGAACAGTTTAATGATTGAGATGTAATAGTGAAATAATAATAATAATAATAATAATAATAATAATAATAATAATAATAGTACTAAACAACCTATTTTTTCCATGCTGAAATCTCACCTTTTATTCCCACTAGTAATGCTGCCCATCCAGGTGTCTCTAAATGGAGAGTGAATTAGTTTAGAACTCTTAAATAGTTTTGCCTTCTTGATTTTACCTGCCAGTATATTTCCCTTTCCAAGCAATATGGACCAACTMTTTCCTTGAGATCCTACATCCTACTTTTCTAGTTATGGCATGATTCTTTCCGTGACAGGAAATACAAAGAAAGAAAAGTTTCATTCATTAAAATACCAATTCATGCCCCTGGCAGAATGGATGTCCTTTTAGTCTGGCTTGGTTATTCTTTTATTTGTATTTTAGGTGATGAGGATAAAGCTGTGATAAAATCTTCTTTTCTTCTTTCTTTTTCTTTTCTTTCCCTGCGTCTAGCACATTAGGAAATGCTTGTTTCAATTTGTACAAACTGCCTTCACAGTAAATTGGACAAGTCTCCCTGAGGAGCAGTAGACAAAAGACTTGGGAAGTGCCRTGGGGATGGGGAGGGAAATGCTTTTATTGCCAATCAAATTAAAGGCATTTAGATCTGCTCTTAAATTTTCCTGTAAATGTATTACTGTGAGGTAAGAATGTGGCTCCAGAGCTGTGTGAATAAGGGACATTTCAATAGCTTGGTGGGATGGGGTGGGAGGTGGCTGCTGCTAAAAAGGTTGGTTAGGCTACAACAAAATATTTCAATTTTTCCTCACTTAGAGAAAAAGCTTTAAAATGGAAACACACTCTGAAAATGATAAATCAACATGAAACACTTGGAGTGTTCTAAAAGCCCCCCCTTCTCTCCCCCTTTCACACCACTCTGTTGGAGAAAAAATAGATGCATTCACTGTTTGCCAAAACAAAACTTGCATGGTTGTAATCAAGTCATTTTACAAYGTGGTGTAGACTTTCACTCCATGTTTGTGGCCTGTGGCAGGAAATGTTTCCACTTGCTGATCTCCAAAGACAAAGGATGGGTCAGGAACAATCTCTGGATTTTCAGGCTGATTGGTTGTCCCACGCCTCCCCTTGCTGTGGTCTTAAACTATGGTAGATGAGGAAATTTAAGATAATTCCTCATTCCTGCCCAGAGACTTTCCTGTTGCTGTCTCCTATGTGCCCGTATCTTCCCAGATAAAGAGTTTTGCTGGATCTCGGGTTGCATTTTGGGATGGAAGTTATGTTGGTATTTYTGAGCTCACCTGAGACCCAGGACAGGTGATGGTTGTTCCTCCCACATGAATTTTCACCTGATTCTTGCAATTTTTAGTGGTTGTGRTCMAGAAYTTCCACYAAGACACCACAGAATCATGGAAGGGTTTGAGTTGGAAGGGACCTTACAGATCATCCCATTCCAACCCCACCTTCCATTATTCCAGGTTGTTCCAAGTCCCATCCAGCTTTGCCTTGGACACTTCCACACTTCCAGGGATGAAAGAGCCACAACTTTTCTGGGAAACCTGTGCCAGCACTCTCTGAATACAGAATTTCTTCCACAGAGCCAATCTAAACCTTCCCTCTCCCTGGCTGCTTGGGCTCTCACAGCTTGGCTGCCACGAGTCTGGACTGAAGTTTTTTTTCCCAAAAATGAAGGATTTCTGGCCTGAGGGCACGTGCAGCCTCTCTTGCCAATGTGTGTACACTGAGGCTGGCTGGGGAAGCTGCACTCTGGATTTTCTGCACTTTTAATGGATTTAGCTCCCAACCATTACTTTCTCAAGGCGGTTGCACTTTCATCCTCTTTCATGTGTCTGGCCCAATTAAGGGAGCATGGTGAGTGATTTCTCTTAGTCCTGGAGTTTCACTGTTTGGCAAATCTCAGGACTGATTTCTTTTTGCTTGGTTTTGAAACTCAAAGTCAAAAAGGAGGTTGAAGCACAACAGGTGCCTGAGGCCATTTGGCTGTTCCCAATTCAATGAATTTTCTGGGATTTTCTGATGCTTTGCTTTCCATGGAGGACAAACCRAAGGAATAGCTGCAAGTGTCAGTGTCAGTGCATCCCAAAAGARTTTTTAATCCTTCCTGAGATACTTGTCAAGGCACACATCAGGACATCATGTGACACATGGTCAAGTGCCCCAAAAACTGAAGGCCAATCCCAGCTTTTTGCTTGCCAGAGGGAAAATGGCTGCTCCGGGACATGAGGAATTTGAATCTCCAAGCCCAGAATGAAGCATCACAGCTCTTGTCATCCAACCTAACACACCCAACATCTTTATCAGTGCAGGAAAAACCTGGACCTGTTGGAGCAGGACCAGAGGAGGCCAYGAAAATTATCAGATGACCCAGCTCTGCTGTGAGGAAAGGCTGAGGTTGTTTGGYCTGGAGAAGAGRAGGCTCTGGRGAGTCCTTAATGTTGACTTTCAACACTGAAAGGAACTTATAAGAAAGTTGGGAACAGATTTTTTTAGGAGCACCTTTAGTGATAGGACAGTGAGTTTTAACTAAAATAGAGTAGATACAGAATAATTATAAGGAAGGATTTTATTTTATGGTGAGGTGAGTAAAAGGCTGCACCAGGATGCCTCATCACTGGAAACATTTATGGCCAGAGAGGTTGGRCTAGATGACCTTTAAAGGTCTCTGTCMACCTAAACCGTTCTGATTTTGCCATCACACCAAAGGTGTTTCAACGCTTKTTGGACTGTCACCATTTTTTGTGTTAGGCACACCAGTTTGGTTTTTCATAACCTTGGTGTAAGAAAGCAGCAGCTGGGTTTAGTTCTGTATCATGTCCCAACTCATGCACCACCTTTGTCTCTTCTTTTTCTTTGCTGTCATCATCTCTATGCCTTTGAGTTGAACTATTTTAATAKCAAAGCCCTGAGACACTGTTGGTATGCTGGAGGATACCTGGGGCCACCGTGAGGCATTTCTGTGGATGAGGAGTTGGGAAAGAAGAAGTTGTCTTCCTCTGACTGCTGCATTTATTTCATTCTGCTGTTGCTACCTCAATCCTTGCTGCTACCTCACTCAGATTTTTGGGGGGCTTTTTTGTCATGTTTTTTTGCTTGTTTTGCATTTGGGGTTTTTGTTTTTCTGTTTGTTTGG